TAGCAAGAAAAGACTTCAGATTAGCAATTCCAGAGATATCGCCCCCTGTGATAACAATATCATCAACATATACTATCAACATAGTCACTTTTCCATTTGCTCTCCTGATAAACAAGGTATGGTCAGCTTGAGATTGTGAGAAGCCAATTTTCAAGACAACTTTTCTGAATTTTTCAAACCAAGTTCTAGGGGACTATTTAAGGCCATAAAGGGATTTCTTCAAACAACAAACATTTCCTTCACTCTCAGGGATGTTCACTCTTAGAGGAAGTTCTATGTAAACTTCTTCTTGAAGGTCGCCATTAAAGAAGACATTCTTAACATCCATTTGATACAAGGGCCAAGAATAGTGGTAACAAGAGACAACGATAACTTTGACTGAATTCATCTTGGCTACTAGAGCAAAGGTTTCTTAGTAATCAATGTTGTAAGACTGAGTGTGCCCTTTTGCTACAAGTTCCACGTCTTCTTTTTAAGTGCCTCTATTTCTTAGTTCATAGCATCCTTCCAATGAGGGAACTGCACTGCCTCAGTAATAGTGTGAGGGATAAAAACAGGAGCAATGAAAGGGGTATAGGCACAATAAGAGGGAGATAAGGTATCATAAAAGACATAATTTGAGATAGGATATTTAGTAAATGTCCTTTTTTGCTTTATGAACTGCAATAGGAAGGTTAAGGTCATAATCCACACTAGGAAGCTCAGTAACAGATTCAACACAAGCATCAAAAACAGGAAGAGATTCAGAATCCAAATTACCTGAGTCTAGGAAGTCAGATTGTAATAATGGACATTCAATCTTTAGAGTCATCCTCTTTTTCTGTCTAACAAACCATTGGTGCCAAGGCCAAGGAATAGGAGGAACAAAGGAGGAGGCACAGGAGGAGTACTATTGCCACCACAGGGAGGAGGAGGAGAAGAAGGATTGACAACATTAGTTGCAAACGGAACAGGAATCGACATACAAAAAGGTTAAACACGGGCCTTTTAAATCACTGGTAAGGATAGGTGTTGGAAACTAAATCCCCACCCAAAGCCTAAGAAGTTAATATCCCAACACTATCTGAACACCCAAACACCTTTCCCACAAGGTTAAACACGGGCTACAACAATAAAACAAGGAAAAATAGGTACTTATAGAAAAACAGGGGAAGAAAAAGTTCCCAAAAAATGTTTTAGGCCTCCAAAAAATCTGGGACTACTCCTGTAGTCTCAAATATTTATCATGATTCAAACACAAGAGGTTTTAGCAGCAACCAACCCACCATGCGAGCATGCAAGCCCTAAACTCCAGATCTGAATTTTTTTACCAATTTTCATCCAAAAAATAAAAAAAGTCAAACTACCATGAAGGCTATATCAAAATCCCTCTAAAAATGAGGTGCATCAATGTGCATCAGAAACACATACGGACACCGTTGACTGTACAGACTGCTGATGTCAACTGATGGTGTGCTGGCTTCAGCAGTTTTGTCTGTGAGTCATGACCAGCAGCTGATGCTCCCCTTGATCTTACGATGCTTTGATACCAAGAAGGAAAAGAGGTTTTGTTGAGAGTAGTCAGTGTGTTACTGTTCACACCAAGAAACCTTTCATTTAATAAAGTGTGGAAATTCTCGATTCCTTCCTAAGATTGAGATTATGCAAAATATTGATGTATTCAATTACAATTAAATAATTTTACTCTTTCACCATTCATCCATGGTGGTGAAGTTCTCTGGAAACACTAAATAGATTACGCCAGCCACAGTTCATAAATAATGTGAATAGTATTTTCCACATTTTTATATATCAGCTCAGTTATATGGTATTATGGTTGTCATGGTGGCAATTCCACATTTATTAATACAAGGAGTAAGCTATTATATAACTATATTCTATAGAAGCATATGTGTTTGAAGCAATACAATCAAATACAAAAGTGTTGATAAAGATACTAAACTCGGTAGTTCCAACAATGCAAGTAACAGAACCGTCAAGGTCCTAACTATGATATGTTTGTTTGTTTTTTTTTTTTTTTTATCAATAACAGTAACTTTTATTAATAAAAGAAGATACAACAGGAGGGGGGTAATAACAGAAGCTATGATCTGTTTGTTACCAGAACATGTAATCTTTCAACCCGCGTTCTTTAATAAGATTAAAAAAAGGTTCTTTATTAAATTTCTTTGAATACAAGAGTTCTAAAACACTTTACCAATTGATAATAGAATTATTTCAATTCCATCACTTTTCATAGCCCAATTGGTTTCTAGATTATGGATGTCATTATCAAAGACATGGATTCAACTTGACTCAAAATAACAATTTATCTGGTTTCTACTTTACTAATCTCAACATAGTTATTGTAAATATTAATCATTATATATGCCAATCCATAGAAAATACCGATCATTATATTTGATGCAGCTGATAGGTCATTTTGATTCCCATAAGAATCAATATGCCTTATTCTGTAAGCCAATGATAAAGGATATCTTGAGGTTTCATGTTATTTAATAAACAGCTGAAAGGGGATAAAAAAGAAAGAAAATATGGTGCAGCAAAGTAGTAGAAGAACTGTGAAACAATGCCTTGAACATGACAAAGATGAAAGAACCTTGATTCACTGTTACATTAGGTAACAATTGCACATCTGTAAAACAGAAAAGCCTAGTCAGGATAAGGGATGAATCATGAATTTCAAATTTCAAAAGAAAAAAGAAAAAATAGAGTTGCATACCAAAAATAACAATTCCAAGCTATCCCTTAATATTTACTTGCAACAAAAAAAGTTTGGTCAATCTCAATGCCTTAGTTTTTGCTTTGATACTTTCTTATCGGCCCTTTTTCCAGAGATGGAAAACAGAGGAAATAGACCAATTCAATGAAATTCTTTGGTTCTAAAAATTGGATAGCTGTCCCCAATGCCATCAAATATCTACTTAGTAATGAGAGACAAAGTTGTCTCTCTTGTACAAAAATGTAATTAAATAGAAATGCTTTCTGTTATTTGGAGAGTTAAATTTTGGACTAAGAAGATGGAAGCTTTTAGATCAAGTTCTGAAGTAGAGTACAAGGCTATGGCTCATGGAGTTTCTGAGTTACCATGACTTCAGATCTTTTTAAATGAATTGCAAATGGATGTCATTGGACCTTTAAAGCTCTATTGTGACAATCAAGTATCAATTAACATTATGAATAACATATTGAGATTGACAGACACTTTGTAAGAGAGGATTGTCTCTTGAGATCCTTGCATTCCTCATATGCCTCCTACAAGAAAGGCAGCCGGTGTTTTCACCAAGGATCTCACTAAAGCAAGATTTTCCAAATTATTGTGCAAGCTAGGCATGATAGACATTTATGCTCAGCGTGAGGGGGAGTGTTGTGGGACTTAAATCTGTGGGCTTAAGTTATAATGTTTCTCTTTTTTCTCTTATTTAGTCTAAGTGGGCTTGGGCCTGAAAGTCTTTTTATGTTTTATTATTGCTGCCACCTAACTAGGGGCAGATATGTCATTTTATCTCTATTAGCTCTTCATATAAAAGATAAAATTAGGGCTGGGCAGAACACCAAGCTGCCACCCTTTCTTCCGGTTCTCTTCATCATCTTCTTCTTGCTTTTCTATTCTTCTCAAATCTGAATGTGAACACTTGTAATGTGTGTACATCAGTCAATTTGTTGTTCAAAGAAATTGAATTTGCAAAAAAACATTGCTTGTTTTTGTATATTGATTCTTAATCTTGGTAATGCCGGCATTGTTATGATCTTGAGATTCGAATTTAAATATGCTAGGTATTGGTTATCTTAAAGAGGCTAGAGCTTGTAATTTTTTTATTTAATGTTTCTAGGGGATCTTCGGCTTGAACAAGATCAAGTACTAAGCCTTTTAGCCAACCTTAAAGATATAAATTTTGTAGATTTTTTCCTAGTTTTTAAAATCTCGATTCTATCTAGTAGTTTCCCAGTTTTGAGATTCAAGTTTCGTTTTAGTATCTATTGCTTGTTACATAACAGGGCTGGCTGCAAACATACAGATTCCTTAATTGAATATTGTTACTTAAGTTGGAAAATTTTAGTTCAAATAAGAGCAAAAAAGAAAGTTTATTTAATACTACAATAGGTTCTCAAATATTTAAGTTTGAATTCTTACTGATATTCTTGAACTATAACCCCTTAACCATAAGGAATTTAGCAGAAAAGGAAACCAAGAAGTATTAATATTATAATTATGGGGTAACCTTTTCTTCAAGTACCCGTTGAAAGTGGTAACTTATTGCTCAGAACTTGCATGGTTAAAGTGCAGGGGTCATCTACCTATCAGATTAGTGCTAGGTATTGATTGTCTTGATTAGATAACCTTAAGTATGTTTTCTTATTTGAATTTGCATGGTTAACTCAAATCTAAATACATGCAAACATACAGATATTTTAGTTACCCTCCACTGCTTCAATCATTAGAATCCTTTTTCTTTCTGGATTTTGGCCTTCAAACATTATCTGTTTAGGCTAAAAACCATGTACCCAAGGAGGTAATTTCCTTGAGTTATATACAATAAAACAATGTTCTCTGCAAATTGTGCTGATTACATAATCCACATTTTACTCTATTAATCTTATTCCCAAAGATTTGTTCTTGGTAAAGGAGAAATTTGCAACTTGCAAAGCCTGATTTGGATGCTATTGGCACTGAAATTCCAATCTCAATCCCCAATTTGCCATGCCTGAGTGAAAGCTAAATAAGTTGTTATCTATGTATATGTATTAGTGAAGGCAGATGTCCAGTTTTGTGTTACTTGACATCTTGGGGATTGATAACAACTTACCAATGAGACGATAAATTAACTATGTGACATCTTTAATGTGATTGGTTGACATTAAGATTTAATGTGTCACAAATATTCATTTCTGCTCTGCAGCCTCTCCAACTTCTTTGGTATGTATAAAAAATAAATGATTTCTTTGGTCACACTAATGAGTTCCATTTCATTTAAAATGGGATGTAAATGTTGATGCAGGTGCTAGTTTATCATGATCTTCTGGGAATGCTACAGCACCCTCACCATGCCAAAGTCAGTAGATGGATTTGTCTTCTGGTTTGAATTCCTTTACTGATACCTTCACAGGCCATTTTCTCAAGGTAGTCACTCTGATCTTTGCAGGTCACCCCGAAGTTCTGTAAGCAGTATGGGCAGGTGGGTGCTGCTATCAACAAAGCTCTTTTGCAGTACAAGGAAGAAGTGACCAGTCGATCTTTCCCTGGTGCTGCCCACACCCCATATAAAATAAGTGCCACTGATATTAATGGATTCTTGAATGAATTACAAAAGATGGGGCTGGATGAGGCAGCATCTGCAGCAGCAGCGGTGGCAAAGAAGACTCAGACAGATGGAACATTGGAAGGGGTGAACCCAGCTGATTGAGCATAGCACATGTGGATTCATTACAACAGTCTTCAATTCACAGTTCCCCACCCTCCCCAACCCAATCTTTTTTTTTCTTTTATTTATTTATTTATTTCTGCTATTGAAATCATATCGTTGGGCTCTTGATCTGAATAACAGGGGAAGGCATCACAGCAGCATTTTCCGGCAAAATTACATTGTTTTTTATTTTAAATTGAAAAGAAAAAGTCTTCCCAATATGCGACTGTAGTGTCTTGTTGCTACTGGCTAGGATGTGGTCGGCAGTTCGGGCTCAAGCTGAATTGCCTGGACGTAAGGTGGTCACAAACCCAAACAAACACCGATTCCCATCAAATTCAAATCTCAGCAGAATTGGTGTTTTTTCTTCCTGTACTCTCTGGGTAAAGGGGCTACACAAACACAACGGAGGTAGTCCATCCCTCGAATTCCATAATCACAACAACTAGGGGTGAGTGGGGTGACCATTTTCAGCCCAACCAGAAAAAACCTGGCTCGGCCGTGGGAATTTTGGGTTTGGGCCTAGGTTTTGTTTTCAGGCCTGTTAAATATCAGAGATTTCTGGGCTGGGCCTGGAAAATTTTGCAACCGTGGTGATTATTCAAATACTTGGATTTTTTTAAATCTAATATTTCACTTTGAATAAAGGATTAAAAATAATATAATATTAAAAATCTAATTATCTTTTTATATTTTTATTTTTGTAAAATAACTGAAACCATAGCAGTCTTTTCACTGAACTAAAGCCCTTAACACAGGTTTGCTAAGGCCGGCCCTTGATCGCCCACAACCTCCCAAGTCTGGCAGTCCTTCAATTTGTTTTTGTTTTTTTTGTTTTTTTTGTTTTTCTGGTAAAAGACTTAAACTTTCCCTGAGTTTTTACCTAAATACTGAAACATCCCCTAATTTTTTAAGTTGGACTTAGCAAGGCCCAAAATACCGATACGTATTGGCTCATATCGGCCATTATGTATTGTGTTGGGAGCTTTCTAATACACCCTTAAAAGGATCAGGTCAGACCATGGTTCAGGGTAACTGGAAGTTAAACTAATCCTCTGAATCGATTTTGAAAAAATAAATAAAAATAAAACATTAAAGAAACTTTGAACCTTGGGACTTAAAATTCCCCTGTCAACCTCCCATCTGACATCTGTTAATTCTTCATCCATATCTATTTGTAGATATATATGTGTGGTTTAAGTTTTTCCAAAATCTCAATATTGCCCTTATTTATCTCTTTGACGAAACAGATTCTTCAAATTTTGTAAGAGAATAACAGGTTGTACACGAGCTCAGTCATAAGTTCATAACCCCTCTCTCTCTCTCTTCGTGCATATGAAGTCATCGTCTTCCTCTCTCATCTCCTAAACTAGCATGGCAAAGGCAAACCATGATACTTCATCAAAGGCAAAATTGCAAAAATAGTAGAGGGGATAATACCAATTCGCATTGGTCCCTGAACCACACAGACTCTCCATTCTAAAGAAACCCAATAGAAAATAAACTTTCAAGTACTAAAATTTTGAACTTTTGAGAACTTCCAAAATACTTGATTTTTCCAAAACCCCAAGACTATAGAGGAAGACACATTTTAACAATTTTGGAGCATGTACTTCTGACATGCAAGGTTCAAAGTATCGATATGTATTGGTTCATATCGATATGTATCGGTTCATATCGGCTGATACATATCATGTTGAGAGCTTCCCAATATGCCCTTACAGGGATTGTATCAGGTTAGACCATGGTTTAAATGGTATCTGAGACTTAAATTGACCCATCTAAAATGATTTAAAAAATAATAATAAAACATAAAAAAAGCACCAACACAGGCCGATACACCCTACCAGCGTATTGGCCTGTATGGATACTTTGAACCTTGCTGACATACAATCAAACCTAAAAACATCCATTCCATTTTTAAATTCACCATCCTCTCTTTCTGCCAAAAAAACAAAAAACCGTTTCTTAATCCAAAATATGATTTAAGAAAGAATGTTCAAGAGTTTGATGGGTTTGAAAATACATCTCAAGCATTTTTTTCCCTTACTGTCTATTAATTATTAAAGGGTAAGAGCAAAACTTAAAATGGAGAAAGAAATAAAAAAGGATTGACACAGAACAACGACCGCTCCAGATGCCATAATTGCTGAGACAGGAGGATCACCACGGTGTGTGGATTTGGGTGCTTCGAGAGAGATTTTTTTTGATAAAGGAGAGAGAATAGAAGTTAGTGAGAGTGGAAGGGAGACTAGACTCAAGCGGGTATAAGGAGAACACCTTTGGTGAGAATACGAAAAAATTCATTTGTTTATTTACAGTTGAAATCTCTCTCTCTCCTTTTTTTTTTTTCTCTCTTGTTTTTCCTCTTTGCAACAGAACCAAACTATAAAGCATTACCGCAAGAAAATAATCTAAAGTTATGCACCTGTATGGCGTTCCCAGAACTTGTCAGCAGCAACTAATTACAACGGTGATGTGTTGATCAAGGCGGTGTTTGATATCGGTGCTATTTTCTGAGAAAATGGAGCCATTAGCGTCATGTCAGAGAAAACGGTGTTGGGAATAAAAGATATGTTTGGTTCGGTTTTTCCAAAAAAAAGGGAATAAAGCGACTATCTTAGAAATCGGGAAGATGTAGTTGAAAGCAATAACGAAATTGATATTTTCCAAATTATTTATCATTGCTGCCAATAATATAATGATGTGGCAATTACGTGACATCCAATGTGCCACAACTTTGAACTGATATGGTGCATCTCAATGTACCACAAAATTTGTTTCTCACCCGTTAAACAAACCCTAACACGGTTTGTTTTCTTCCCACTGCTATTGTTCTCTCAGTCGGCAACAGACGTCAGATTCATTGTCGGAGGCCTGACTTTTTGTTGTTTTCAGCTGCTGGAGGTCAGACTTCTTCGTTTTCAGCTGCCAGAGGTCAGGCTGTTGTGTTCAGACTATTTGTATTCTCTCTGGAACCGCCAAGGTCAGACTGTTGTTATTGCTCTCCCAATCAGTAACAGACGTTGAGCCGCCGGAGGCCGGACTTCTTCCCACTACCGTTTTCAGCTGTCGGAGTTTCCGTTATAGTTATTTCTTTATCATCAATTAACATTGCTCCTGGTCATTATTAGAGAAGTAGGATAGCATATACGTAAGAGAAGCAATAAATAATGGGTACCAGTGCAGAAAACGGACATGAAATGTTGATACCAAACAGAAAGTGGTGCTGTTTTTTCAAAAAACGTCTTACCTGGTAACATCGTTTCCAAACAAAAAAGGTGATTACAAGTTACAACACAGCACCGCTCCCAGCAACGATGCCAAACACCTATCAAGTCTTCCCTGTTTCAAGGTTAAAGACGATGGGTTTCGTTTTTAAACCAATTACAACCCAATCTGATCCTAGATTTAACCCAAAGTTATTTTTTCCTTCCTCCGTTAAAATAAAGTTTAAAAATCTTAAAAGGGTGAATAGAAAATGTGAAGGGATATTTCAGTATTTAGATGAAATCTTAGGGGAAGTTTAAGCTTTTTACCTAGATAATATGGGAATAGGATTCGATAACAACTCCACAAGGTCCACAGCACAACCCAACTGTTCTGATAAGTGATAACGTGTGATTCAATCCCAGATCCACTAGAAGCAGGAAGCAGGAAACAGGAAACTTCACCAGACCACCCGGAACCTTTAGGATTTTTTAAACTATCCTTATGATTTAGCGAATTGACCAAGTATATCTTTGCTGTTTGAAAATTGATCAATGCTATTTCTATTATTTCTGACAATTGATTAATATTTTCCTTCAAATTTTCAAAATAAAACCTTCAAACCTATTTACAAGGGTTACCTCAAAATTTACAACAGTAACTAGAAAAACAAATACCATCTAAAGACGAATTCAGAGCCTCTCTCTCTTGTGCATTAAATTTTAAGTTAATCAAAAGAATGGTCTAAAGAGGGTTGCAAAATCGGAGCTTTCTCTTAGAAACCTGTAAACCTTATGGTATAGCTTTGGCTTCCCTCGCGTCCGCTTGAGGTGCTAAATCCAAATCACTATCATTACAGCAGCAAGTCGGCAACTCCCACTGTGTCTTCCTCGGTTCGTTTGAGTTTTAGAACAGAGAAGACCTCTCCTTTGTTTTCTTCGACATTACTGTCATTACAGCAGCAACTGACGTTAGCCGGACCTCACAGTAGCTTATTCCCATCGAACAATGGCACCCCTCTTGTTCTCTTCTCCGGAACCGCCGCAATTGCACAAGTCTATCTTGTGGCGATAGTTCCTAGGAACTGAATTCCAACTTTGTTTTTCCAGAAAGAGAGAGAGTGCTCTGAATTCTGTCTTTGTTTATTCCAGCTAAAGGTTTACAGGGTTCTGCGACTTACCTACTAACAACTTTTCGGTTTATCTCACCAAGCAAGAGGATTTAGAGTTGGGTTTTATTTTGAAAATATTTTTCAAACCCAGATGGTGTCGGGGTCGAAGATGTTGTTCCGAACCAGCAAATCAGCCGTTATGTGGATGTTCGTTTCAAGCCTCCGGAGACGCTGGCCATTCATTTCCAACTGCGAGTAATAGATGTTGGTGCCGGTGCGTCAGAGCCAGTGCCAGAGGCGACAATAAGATATTTTGTCAGAGCTGTGCCGGCGTTAGAAGTTATAATAAAGATAAATTAGGTATTTTAGAAGTTATAAGAGTCACCTAATATACATTTGAATGATTTATGAGAAAAGATTAAGGTAAAAAAGAATTAGTCAATTGACAACAGGATACACTTAATCTACAAACAGAATACACTTAATCAAATCATTTAACTTTTAAATCATAAGGATAGTTTAAGAAATTTACCCAAAATCAAACCATCACCCCGAACATAAAAGAATTTACTCATATGCTAACCTAACCCCAGCCAAGAGTAAACAGGAAAGAGGTTGTTCTGAGTTCTGACTGATTTTGGTTTGAGAGCTAAAACTAAAAGAGAAGCCAAGATCCTTTGCTCGTGGTAGATGCTTTCGTTTTTCCAGATGAGACCAACAAGGGTATTATCCAAACAAGCAAAGCTGCTTCTGCTGTCTAAACACGGAACGACGACGAGATTTCCTCCATTTTTTCGCTTTCTAACCGTTGAAGCTGACGCTTCACAACTACCACCACCGCCGACAACGACGACGACAGACGGTGCAGCAAATGTGAACCAGGTAGTGGAGCTGCTACGAAGTAAGGATGACAACTGGGACGACGAAGAACTCCGGCGACTTCTCTCCTCCGCCGCCTCAGTTTTCACCCCTCCTCGTCTACTCCAAGTCATTCGACGCCTAGGCGACAGTGCTAAAGCCCTCAAATTCTTCGAATGGTTACAAAAAGACCAATTGTCATCGTTGTTGTCTCTTCCATCGGCGTCGTACGCCTACGAGGCTATATTCGATCTCGCCAGCAAAGAACCCAACCATCTCCTGAAGCTCTCTGAGCTCCTAATTACATCCAATGCCCATGGCGTTCCTCTCACTTCTGGGTCCGCATCCATAGTGGTTTATCATTTCGGAAGAGCCCAGATGGTCACAGAATTGTTACGAGTCTACGACGTACTCGACCCCTCACTCCGCAAGACCCGTCTTTGCAATTCCATTGTCGATCCCCTCCTCAAATCTAATCGTATTGAAGATGCTCTGCGCATTCTTGATGATATGCTTAAACCGGATTCACAGTGCCCTCCCAATGACTTTACTGGTTCTATCGTTTTCATTACGTTCTTGAAGAGTCTCATACCTGGAAGGATTTTGAATGAAGAACAAGTAATTCGGTTAATCTCTAAATTAGGCGAACATGGGGTCTTCCCTGACGTAATGCGGCTCACCCAATTGATTACGAAGTTATGCAGAGGAGGTAACACCGATCTGGCTTGGGATTCTCTACACGCTGTGATGAAAATGGGCGGTCCCGTGGAGGCTCCTTCATGCAATGCCCTGTTGACTTGGTTGGGCCGGAGCCGGGATTTTGAGAGAATGAACTTGGTTTTGGCCGAGATGAAGGAGATGGGTATTCAACCCAATGTTGTAACTTTTGGAATTCTTATTAATTATCTATGCAAGTCTCGCAGGGTTGACGAGGCCTTGCAGGTGCTCGAGAAAATGTCTCGTGAAGATGGAAGCGGTGGTGTTGCTATTCAACCAGATGTAATCACTTTCAATACCCTGATAGATGGACTCTGCAAGGTTGGGAGGCAAGAAGAAGCGCTGGATTTGGCAAACAGGATGAAATTGCAACATGGATATTCTCCCAATACCGTTACCTACAACACCCTGATTGACGGATTCTGCAAGGCAGGAGAGATTGATAGATCCCGTGAGCTGTTTGATCAAATGCAAGAAGAGGGCGTTGCCCCCAACGTTATCACGCTTAACTCCCTGGTTGATGGGATGTGCAAGCATGGCAGGATTAGCAGCGCTCTTGAATTCTTCCATGACGTGCAAAGTAAGGGTCTGCAAGGGAACACCGTTACTTACACCTCCCTGATCAGTGCTTTCTGCAACGTGAATAACATTGTGAAGGCAATGGAGTTGTTCGATGAGATGATAAGCGTTGGGTGTTCCCCTGATTCAGTCGTTTACTACACATTGATTTCTGGCTTCAGCCGTGCCGGGAGGTTGGATGATGCCTACTCTGTCGCCTTGAAGATGCAAGAAGCTGGGTTCTGCCTTGACACGCTGAGCTACAATGCTCTGCTAAGTGGGTTATGCAAGAAAAAGAAATTGGATAAGGCCTATGAATTACTCAGAGAGATGGAGAAGAAGGGAATTAGGCCTGATGAAGTCACATACAACATACTCATCTCCACTTTGTCCACAGCTGAAGATTTCTCCAATGCTCGCATGCTATTGGAAAAAATGATTTCAGATGGATTTGTGCCTACTGTAGTTACATATGGAGCATTGATAAGAGGGTACTGCAGAGCTGGTAACCTAGATGAAGCTATGAACATTCTAAGAGACATGGATTCAATTTCAAAGGTCCCACCCAATACTGTGATATACAATACTCTGATCGACTCCTTGTGCAAGGAAAAAGAGATTGAAGCAGCCCTCTCTTTGATGGACGATATGCAAGCCAAGGGGGTGCTTCCAAACACCACTACCTACAATTCCATATTCAAGGGCCTTCAGGAGAAGAACTGGCTGGACAAGGCATTTGAACTTATGGATCGCATGAATGAACAGGCTTGTAATCCTGATTACATAACCATGGAGGTTCTCACTGAATGGCTGTCGGCCATTGGCGAGACAGCTAGGTTGAGAAACTTCGTTCATGGCTATGAGGTTTCTTCTTCTCCGAGCGTTAGACAACAAAAGGGAGATCCTTGGAATAACTCTTCCGCTTGTCACAATGCTCATAAAATTACCTCAATTTAAGCTATTAAAAGGGTTTTGGTAGACAAAATTTAGATGTTTTGCTTGTCAGTTGTCTCCTAGATTAATTTTTCCTTTATTGTTATTTGTTTTGTTTTTGGGCAGACGTAAGGTCTAGGGCTGCAAATGATATCCATTTATCTGAAGTTAATTATCAAGTCCGAACGCTATTCCATTCAACTAAAATCAGGCAAATCTTTGGTAATTACATTCAAGAGGAAATTAGGAAAATTTATATTCTATCAATTAGTAAAGTTGGTTTTAATTTTGTATTTTTACTAAAAAAATATTCTTCAAGGTTCAATATATCATGAAAATCCAATTTTAAGAGACATATTAAAATACGCATAAATATAGTAGGAATGTTTATATATGCATGAATACGCCAAGCAAATTCAAATAAAAACTATCAATAATGCTAAATTTGAATCTTATATGCACATAAGAAATACATAATTTAATAGTTCCTACCGAAAAAAAAAAAACATAATTTGATAGTTTATGTGAAATGTGCACAATCAAAACACACTCAAGAAACATTAGCATCTATGCTCCTTTACCACTTGGTATCCTATAACATTCCTGCCTCTATTTGTAAAGAGTTGAGTGCAGTTTGTAGGGATTTTTGGTGGGGTCAATCAGAGTAAAAGGCCTGTGTATCTTAAAGCGTGGAGTTATTGACCCCTTGATAAGGGTGGGCTGGGCTTTAAGCATCCACAGTTAATGAACAAATCTCTATTACTAAAACTTGCTTGGAGATTTTTACAGGAGGATGGTGCCATTTGGAAGAGGATTCTAAACTCTAAATATATGTCAGACATAATTCCTTTGGCGGTCCAAAGAAGAATTCTAATGATTCTCCTTTTTAGGTGAGTCTATTGGAGTGTATCAGTGTAGAGGTGACTTAATTAAGGGCTGCAATGCTGTCTTCTCATATTTCAGTGCTGATGACCATTAATGCCCATATATCGAATCTCACTGGATGTTTGGAGAATCATGGGGAGCCTTGCCTTACTCAGCCACCCTCACCGGCTTTCCTTGCTAGGAGATGGCTTAAACCTTCGGAGTACTATCTTAAACACTGATGGTGCATGGACTCCATTCATTGCAGCTATCAGAATTGTCATCAAAGATCAGGAGGGTCATTTCTTAGTTGGAAGAGCCATGGTGATCAAATACTCATCTCCTGAAAAATCAGAAGCCCTAGCTATTCTAGAGGGTTTGAAGCTTGCTAAGAACATGTTTATGACCCATATTTACTTAGAAAGCAACGCCAAGCTGGCCATCCTCGCCCTGTCAGCAAATCACGACCCTCCGTGGAAAACCCATACACTATCTTGGACTGCAAGAGAGTTGCATCCATCTTTTCTTCTGTTGTTTTCTATCATACATCTCGTTCATGTAATGGGGTTGCCAACGGGCTATCCCACTATGCCATGCAGCATAATTGTTTCAATATTTGGTCCTCCATCCCTGAATTTGTGAGGGCTATCATTTTGAATGAGATACAATCAAGTTGATTATTGAATGGATTATGCCCTCTTAAGCTTCAAAAAACAAACAAAAAAAAAAAGTTACTATACATGATCGATCGATGCCGAACCAATGGCCTGACCAGCACCGACCATACCATCTTTGTGCTGCACTGTTCTCCTGTGATAAAACAATATCAATTTCAAAATCAATTGGTGGTACTTGGGATTGTTAGAGAATATCAACCTATTCAAGGACCTCACAAGCTGTTAGGTTGAATGGTTCTTTGAGATGATATCAGAGTCATTATGACCAAGTGGTCTAGTATTCAATCCTCATTACCCCCATTATAATTAAATAAGTTTCAGCACAAGGTATGGGTGGGTCTGTGCTTGTTCTCGCTTCAAAGCCCAATGGACTTTAATGTGAGAGGACGTGTTAAAGAATATCAACCTATTCAAGGATCTCACCAAACAACTTAAACTTTTAGGTTGAATGGTTCTTTGAGAAGGATCATGTGCTATAAAGCCACCCCTAGGAAACTAAATAAATAAATAAAATAGAACGAGCCAAGATCTTTATTTCACTTCCTCCTAAATGTTATTAGTCATAGCAATTGGACCTGTTCATGGGCCGGGTAGCCCGATGGGCCGGCCCGGCCCAGCCCAATCTAAGTCGGGCTTGGATAAGATTTTAGGCCCACGGGCTTGGGCCTAAAATATCGGGCCCGATTTGATAATTTATTATATCAATAAAAACATATTTGATATAATAAAAAGTATATATATATATATATATAATATTTTTCTTCTCTTTTTTTCAAGTAATAATGAGACTTTTTCATTATTTTTTATAGGTTTTGAGGTTTTTTAGTATAAATAAAACAACTTTTAATTGAATCAAAAAGAAAAATTCTTTTTTTTTTTAATTTCTAGTCGGGCTCGGGCTTTGGGCTTTATAGTCAGGCCGGGCTCAGGCTCGGGCCTAGATATTTTCTGTTAATGTAGAAGCAAAACTCAACCCGAACCCGGCCCGGCCCGGCCTGTGAACAGGTCTAATAACAATACAAAAACTAAAGAGAGGCGTTATCATGATTTCATTAATGAAGTCCAATCAAATATGCTCATGGAGCCTGCCATACTGGGTGTTCGGGATGCTCTATCTTCAAGAACTAGTTATCTTCAGGTTATTCTTTAACAGGTTCAAGGCTTCAATCTTTGGTCCCATGAATAGAGGTTTCTTCTTGCACTACTTGCCAGAAAGACATATTGTAAGAAGCATGAATGAATTTCAACACGGAACAGTTTTGTTTCTTCCAGAACATAAAAAAGCAAGCGCTTGGTGTGGGTTATTCCTTCCATTGTGACTCATCAGAGGTTGCTTTTTCATCGCTATTTGGGCGATAAGTTACTGCTTCCAATGTCTTGTAAAACTCTTCTGTAAGTGGACCGGCTGGGTCGATGCTGAGGGAAGTGCTTTGGAATTGGGGCGTCATTCTCAATTATCTCACATTCATAGACTTCAGGAATACCCCATGGATCCCACTCTGCAATGCAGGATCGACATAATACACAACATTATTTACCGGGGTTCTTGTTACTCCAACCAAAGTCGCTGCTTTTGACTTTTGAGAGAATTCATTAGAAATCTGAGAGCAGTTGGAAAAAACAAATGAATGCGATGCTACTTCGCTGATTGATGATATGGAGTGAACAATGAAATACCATAATTGTATACAAATATCTTATCTTTTAGATATTGTATACTTAAGGATGGGGTTGAGGGCAACAAGGTAACTTCGCTTCTATCCGAGGCTGATGAATTTAACCTGAAAGTAAGAAGAGAATACACGTCAGAGGCTCCGAATGTTATCCCAGGGGCAGAGACTCCGACGGTCAAGTTAATCAAGTGCTTAAATGGGGTTGGATCAGGCTTGAGATGAGGGCTCAGAAAAAGTCTCTCAGGAACAAGATTGCAAGAGAGCAAGAGTGAATAAGATAGATTTATCTTGAGTTGGGCACCCCCTTTTATATTTGATCATGCCATAGAGTGGTTGGAGGAAGTTAAAGGTGGATGGCCAGGATCTCATCCGGTCAATGCCACATGGCACAATCCTGGGCCTTGCCATGTCCCTCTACATCAATTATCTTTTATTAGATAATAAAATTGTAATATAAAAAGAAGAATAGAAAGGGAAAATCCGAGAGGGGAGTTGCATATATTATCCAATTAATTGTCATACAAAAATTTCTCTACATCCAATAATACATATAGTTAATTGTTTGTAAAATATCCTACAGGGGGTTCTTCATCCAAGTTAGTCTCCGTGTATAGGTGTTTGCTTACATCAGTTACCATCAGGGTTCAAAGTATTGATATATATCGGCCCTACAAAGGGTGTATTGATACATATGGTCAATATGCATCGGGTCAGTGGCTTCCCAGTATGCCACTACAGAGGGTGTATCGGGGTTCTGACCGGTTTAGAGGGTGGAGGGGCCTTAAACCGCCCCCTTGAACCGGTTTTAAATAAAAAAAGAGCAAAAAAACACTATCGATATCACCTAATACATCGGGTGTATCGATATTTTGAACCTTGGTTACCACAACCTCAAAGGTCGAAACTCATACGCACAACTAGAACCTGATCAAGTCCATTTTATAATTCTATGGAAACCTTCAACATGCTCAAGTCCTAACAAAGCTTTCAGTTATGATGCTTGGGCAGGGAGTTAGTTGTAGAGTTGGTGCAAAGATGGCTTCAGGCTTTCTAATTCTTAAATATAGGCTTTCATGGCAATCATGATATTACAGAATGCCATTTTGCAATAGTTTTCTCCACACAGAATTTTCAACCTATGTCCCATAGGCATGACATCCTCAGAAAAATTCCTTGCTTCTTGCATTGTTAGCGGCATTTGGTCCCACCACATGGCTCTCCCATGTAAGGTTCAAAGTATCGATACGTCCAATACATCAGTAGGGGCGTATCGGCGATATCAATAGTGTTTTTTTGCCCTTATTTTTATTTTTTTTTAAAACCGGTTCAGAGGGGCCGGTTTAAGGCTACTCCTCCCCCTGAACCAGTCAGAACTCCAATACACCCCCCCTATAGAGGTGTATCAAAAAGCCACCGGCACAATACATATCGGCCGATACATATCGATACTTTGAACCTTACTATCATTGAACCCCCCCTTCCTCCCAACCCNCCACCCAATCCCAGTTTTTTAAGCAAAGCCAGGTAACAATCATCTTGAAATAGACCAATTCATAGGAACAAAACATAAATCTTTATCACTAGTTCATTTATTCAGTATTAGAAAAGACGAATAGGTTAACTGATGTAGAGATCAGCATCAGTCCCAATTTCAGGAGTCAGGACTGAGGCATTAAAACTCAGGATTCACCATAAAGATGGCATTACCAAAAATTTTATTGAAAAGAGACGGGTAAAGAGTATAGAATATAATACAACTGATGGTCTAATATAACCACTAAACTAACAGATCTTTCAAGATCCCCACAAAATAAATTCCTAATGGAAACCAATTTTGAGTAAACTAGCTAAGGAGTCGGTGATCAAACTTCAAAGAACCCAGGAAAATGAGATCTTCATCCTGAAAGCCAAATCCTTAATGTTACCAATACAAATAGAAGCCAGTGACTTCTTGAATTGGTTACAGGGTCCTAAATGTGTTCTCTATCCTACCTTCTCAT